ATTGCTACCCCGCCACTGTTGTTAATTTGCTACCCCACCACTGTTGTTATTGCTACCCCGCCACTGTTGTTATTGCTACTCCGCCACTGTTGTTATTGCTACTCCGCCACTTTTGTAATTGCTACCCCGCCACTGTTGTTATTGCTACCCCGCCACTGTTGTAATTGCTACCCCGCCACTGTTGTTATTGCTACCCCGCCTCTGTTGTGCAATGTATCCGTATCTATTTACATAAAACTTTACTTGTCAGGTCTTCTAAGATATAAACCACTTTATGAAAACGATTTTTTTAACCGCTCAGACAGACAGTTATATCGCGATACTGTGTGAGCGCAACATCCAAACTTTAGTCAGTAGAAAGACAGAGGGGATAGTTGTTCCTCTCGAACCTTTAATAGCCAGCATTCTTAGGTTTCAAATATTTGGCGTAATAGTCCTTTAGGTCTATAACTACAAATCCCTAACTGTCAACAGAAATTAGACACTCATCTAATCAAATACCCGCTAGTAGGAAGACACACACACAAAATTGATATATTCACATTTTTTTTTACTGAAATTATATTTGTCTTATTCGGTCGAAAGATATTTTAACAGACTATCGCTATTCGAACGAAGACTTACTGTTCTCAGCTTAGCTAAATAGATGGAACAGATTTCTAAGAAAAAAAATATGTGCCCGATCTTTTCCTTTTTCATTAATATACATTAATGATGTTTAGTCCTTAAATGTGGACCGTTTTCGTCCGAGTACTACCTCCGACTCAATTGTCCTTTAGAACTTTACATTTATAGGTCGCGTAGAACTTAAATCTATAACGTCATACCGTGACATTTACCTACAGTATGATTTTAATGGTTACCCAACTACTACACCTCAGTTTCTTCATTTTCACAATCGTTATTCTCAAAATAACAAAACAGCTTCACTGACTTATGGAGTTTAAATGTCGCTTAATCAATCAAATAGTCTGTTCCAAGTTCATGTCTTGAATGTTTAACTTCAATCTACATCGAGAGTATTTTACTGTAAACATTATGACCTGGCCGTTCACTTTCATATTTCACTGTCTAACATGATTAAATACTATAAGATAATTACTCCATTTTTCGGATATTCTGTCCAGGGTAAGAAAGCGATGTAAGATTTTGTATTATATGACCGATTTCACGTACGTGTCGTCACAATAGAACAGCAATGATGTTACGTCACGAAATCTGAATATAACGAAGCTAGTATGCGGAAACTGCGTTGCCTTTTGTGTTTTCTGGGCTTATTTGCGTGAGACAAAATACCTTCCTGACAAGTGATGTAAGGAAGGAAATTCACCCTTGAGATTTAAAAACTGGTCCAAAACCCTTGGCAAGCCTACGGTATTATCGAATTTGAAAACCTCTGGAAATAATACTATCTTACATGTATATCCCTGGACAAAAAAGAGTCGTGTTAATATCTTCTCAGTTCCTCTTTTGTTTTCCTCTCGTGCTTACTTTGACCTTCCATTGTTTCTTTTTAATTTTGATGCTGTCGTCTTTTTCTTGTTTACTTATAGTCTAAAATCCATTAACAGCTGAACAGAGACGACGAAAGAAGCCTCTATATCTTAATACGATGACCAACATAGCTCAATCCTTTAAAAAACATTACTCCTTCGTGATTGCAAACACATACTTTAATAGAAGTACCGTGCTACTCCCCCGCCTTGTATAATTCCAGTTAGTTTGATTGTACATAAGGTGCCCGTGTCCTTACATTCACGCCCTGCGTCATGGTAACATAATAAACCTTGTTCCATTGTAATGGCAGTATCAGTCCATTAAAACCGCCTGGTTCATGAGTAAGCAGACTTAAGCAGTTTGCCACTTGGTCTGTTTCCACTAGGGACTGTTATCTCACCGTCGCTACGTTTATGGAAATGCTAGTTTCCTATGTAACATATCTAATGTAACAATTATAACGCGGACACACGATGCCGTCCGTATAAGCAGTGATTCACCTTTTACAAATCCTATAGACTTTTGCGAGGCGGTGAAATTAGACATGTACTCATACTTGATGATTAATCCTGTATTTGTATGCCTGTTCCAGATGAGTAATAAAAGAAATCCAAGTTTCCGACTCGCCATAGAGACACAGGGTAAGGAACAGTTCCTACTGACCAGTCAGTACCGCAGCAACACGACATTTTTCCGCGGAATGGTGCGCTACGTAGCCGAGCAGTACCTGACGGATGAGCTGGACAGACAGTACTACGCAGACAAATATAGCTGCTGTCCGCCTCCGCTCTTCATCCCTTTCATAACTATGGCAGAGGTAAGGCAGCCTTTCTTGAAACATGTCACATAACTGTATCTTTTGAACACTTTACTGTGTTTAAGAAAATATTCTCCAACGTGGTCACTAAGCTGTCTCTAAGACCATATTTTCCCTGCGTGATACTACTTAACAATGTATAAGAAATGCTTCTTCCGCGTGGTCACTTAACTTCGTCTAAGACCATCTTCTTTCCCCGTGTGATATTTCAAAACAATGTCTAATTTAGCCTTCTCCTGCCTGGTCACTTAACTGTGTCTAAGAAAGCATTATCCTCGTGTTCACTTAACTGTGTATACGGCTGTATTATTTCGCGTTGCCTTAGATAGCATTTTCCCGCGTGGTCAGTAAACGCAATAACTGTTTACTGACGTAATGAATCGAAATATGTTTTGAAACATATAATATGAGGTAATGTACTTGCTGTGCAGACGCAATCGGCGCTAATTATAAGTATATATATTTGTGAAAGTTCATAATTCATACGTCGAGAAAAATATTCTCGCAATTTTTTTCAGGTTATATTATGTATGTAACATGCTGATTTAAGGATTAGGTGTAATACAAATCCTACATTGAATGCGTTATCGATAAAGTAACATTTAGCATTTCCTTTGATATAGCTGTCTTCTATATGCCTTGATATATAATTGATTATGCTTTGTTCGTAAACGTATTGTGAAGCTACACTGCATAAAAACACAAAAAGCGATAACTCGACCCCATTGCATTTGTTTTTTTCCTTTATTATCTCGATGAGTATTCTGATACCCTGAAACATAACAATGGTGTATGCCGATATCTATGATCGGGTGATCAACGCCTCGTCTATATTATCAGTGATCACCATCAGTATGTATTGGCAGTATACGGTATCTTGTTTCGCCACCATTGAAATACGGTTCTAATTTTGTACCTATACTGTCTTCAATGGAGAAAGAATATCGGTTATTGATAGGAATTTGACACATCATCAATCCAAAATATGAATAAGTGTTGAATTATTCATGTTGATATCAAGTTAAGTTCTTTAGAAAGTAGACACGTACCTTTGCACGTAGCGTGAATCGAGGGGTGACCATTTTATTTATAGTAAGCACCTTTTGGTGGCAACAAAACGTACAGTACATGTTACTGGTTCAGAAACAATCAATATTCTCCGATGTCTAAAATTTACATTTCTGTTGTAGAGCGTGTAGATAAAGCTACCAACTGTAAATGTTATGACACAAAGAGATGCATGTTATTTTGTTTTCAATCATGAATGTGTTTTGGTTGCGCCATCATGCTTTTAAAGATATCGAAGACCGATCAGTTTATTCAATCTGATATCTTAAGTGCGTTACTAAGCTTCATAGGAATATGTTTGAACGGAAATTGATGTTATTGATTATCCTTGAGGAATAACACCCTGCACTTTTATTTATGGAGAACACCTCTTCGCCTTGTATTTTTTCAACGGTCTCCATGTCATACTTAACTTTGTGTTAACGGTCTTCCTGACGCCTTTGTTCAATCATTTGATGATAGTTTTGGAAGAAGGGTATATCGTAACATATCAGTGGTTAATGTTGTGGTCTTCAATGAACCTGAACAACAGCAAATAACAGAACACTTCTCAATTTTTACCATCACTGTCATTGTTTTTGGTATCAAATTCATACCTTTAGTATCCAAACCTATTCATGTTTGAAATCATGAGGCTTTTTAGTTCATAGAGTTAAGTTCAGTCAAATTCAACTTTTAAAAGCAAACACGTGTCACCCAATAAGCGATGCAGTATAGTCATATTTCCGACCGAAGTAACGTTCCGTTACCTAATTCATTATTTTGTAATTGTTGAGCTTATATCCCGTTCCCCTTAGTTATCGCAGTTAGTGTTAATTATTGAGATGAAATTCTTCTATCACGTAATGCATACAAAAACATTTAGACGGGTAATGGGAGGTAACTGTTACCTAACAGAAAAATGTCTTTTCATCGAAAGTTCATAATTGTTAACGGTCAATTCTATAATCATTTGAAATTCACATATTTTTTAAAGCGTCATTGGGATATTTATACGTTATCCGTATCTTTTCTTTAATGCCTTGATATTAGCACTGAATCAATCTAATTTAGTATCCGTTTGATATTTACAAAAGAATATAACTGTTCTTTAATTTCATTTTTGTATTAACACAGAAATAATACCTGTATTAAGTGTTATTTTGATATAGAAACCGAGTTCATACCTATCCTGTGCGTCATTAGTGTCATTTGTAGTGTTGTTACATCTTTATCAGTAAATCGGTGTGTAGAGCTTGTTCACGATCTTACAGGTGGGATTCTTTGTGTATCACTGCCTGGAGGCCAACAACATTACCCCCACCGGTCCCGTCCCTGTGGAAAGCGTCTTTATCTACCGTCCCGACCGCCGCCTACAGCTGTGGAGGTTCATCTTCTATATGTTCATACATGCCGGGTACGTTGCATCAAATCCCAAATAAATAAAATACATATGAAATAAAAATGTTACGACGGCATGCAGACAAGACCAGAATTTGGCGATGACCAAGAAAGGAAGTCATAGAAAACAAGGGTTTATTCCTCAAGAAAATAATGTTCCTAATGCCTGAAAAAATGTTATAAGCGCAAGAAAAAAACTCATAAGATAACAAAGTTGTATTTTCTGTGTTGTGAAGAATGTAAGCATAAGGATAAAAATGTATATTTTCCGACAGAGTATGGCGACATTCAATGTAGTTACCGACGATACCTCTATAGTCATGTGTATACTAAACATGTCTGTTCTGAAAAACATACTTCGTTGCATGTGTGGAAACTAATTCTGATGAACTTGGGATGATGTGTCATGAACCGTCCATGCATTGTTCATACAAAAACTGTTTTGTTCCAGGTGGGTACATTTATTTTTCAACATGTTGGTACAAATAATCGTTGGTATTCCCTTGGAGATGGTTCATGGTTCTTTCCGGATTGCACTTGTGTATCTGGCTGGAGTTCTTGCAGGTAAAAAGTGCTTTCTTCCTAGGTTGACAAGTTCATCTGATCTAAACGTTTTACCAAAAATACTTTGGTAGTTGCATACTTTTAAACTGCCTTTCGTGTTGATGTTGTTTTCTCTAAATGATGAATTGTTAATTTTTATGTTAAAACAATGATTTCTTTTAAAAAAACAATCTTGTACTTTACACAGATTGCCTTGTAACCATTGAACACTGCTACACTTGCATTATAGTTGTCATGTATTGTTTCAGTTGTTATTGTAAATTACATCAACAGCTCAAACCTAGTAGTTTGTGTAACTTGTCATTCTGGTGGAATCTTGTCAGGACCGATGTTAACAGATCCTCTTAACTCTTAGAAAATTCTTAACATAAACTTTCTTAAATTTCAGATTTACTCTCGATTGTTCTAAAACTAGATTCAAATTGATTTTGTAATTCCGGGACTGGGTTCCATAACTTTCATAAAACAGCGTCTCATCATTGTTATTGTAGTTGAAACATTGTGTGTATTTTGTTCCATTGGCAGGGTCTCTAGGGACGTCAGTGTTCGACATCAAAGTGTATCTAGTTGGGGCCTCAGGAGGGGTGTACGCTTTATTAGCAGCTCATCTTGCAAATGTCATGCTGGTAAGTGTTCCAAGGGAAGTCACTCCTATTATAAAAAACAGATTAAGTCAACTTGAGTTGTTTCCCTTTAACCGGAATAATGTACACAAATTATGCCATAATCTTGCTGTTGAAAACTATGACATGTCGTTTCAGAATTATACTCATATGGAGTTTGGTGTATTGAAATTGGCAGCTGTTCTTGTTGTTGGTAAGTGTTTGAGAGAGGAGTATATTGAATAGTTAAAAATGACAGGACAAAAAAATAGTTTCACTGCTGGTGGATGAACACGGTGATCAAAATGAAAGTGTTAACTACCATCTGTCCTCCATTACTGTCTTATTATTGGATAGCCATGCTTGTTTCAATTGCTGTTCAATTTTATGTAAAATTCTCGCGAACACAGATGAACCTCCCGATAGAAAATGTATCCTTAGATAGGAACTGCCATAAACATTGATAAAATAGAACAGCAATGTTAGGAACGTGCAAGCGAGAGTGAAATTTAAGGTAAATTAATAGTCAAACATGTTTCGATGCGTCCTTATTAGTCATCAGTTGTCCGCGCACTTGATCATTTGTGGTCAGCCTCCGTGTATGATTTTTTCTCTCGTAAATGTGTGCAAAGTATAGCCATGTGCTCAATCAAAATATATTAATGATTATGAAATAAATTTTCTTTATCTCAGAGATTAACTTTCGTTCAATTTTCGCACTTTATCCAAAGAGTTTTCTGACAAAATATGCCATGTTTCATCTCTACCAAAGAGCAGCAAATTACCAGTATGCGACACAGTTGGTTCTGGAAGTTTTTCGACTTCAGTGCAGTTTGTTATTTACTGGAAAGCTGTAGCAAGGCTGTTTAAGTTGATTTTATCATATTTGTTTCAGCTAGCGCAGATGTTGGCTTCGCTATTTGGGACCGATATTCCAGCTTGGACAAGGCGCCACCTGTCGGATACACAGCCCATCTAATGGGGGCACTAGCAGGTCTAACCATAGGACTTGTTGTTTTGAAAAACTTTGAACAAAAACTTCACGAACAGTACTTGTGGTGGATATCACTGTCTATTTACCTAGCTTGTTTTGCGTTTGCTATTTTCTGGAATGTGTTTTATTACTGACATTTCTTCAGGAGGTCATCATCATTATTATCAGCAGCAACGTCATCATCGTTGTCATCCATGCTTTCCTTGACTCAGGTACTGCCGAATGGAGATCTAAACCTGTCCTCATCAACGTTAACAGCCTTGTGCGGTACGCGGACGCAGGCCTCCAATCTGGTGCTCTATATCATTGTACTCATATAGCATACCACTACTACTATTACTACCGAATAGCTCTTGTTTCTGGGTCATATACAGCTGCGGAACTCCATTGCACTTTTGTCCTTTGCCACCCGTAGACTTTCGATTTATAGTTGAAACTTATATCTCATAATGTGGTTCTCTGACTGAATGATCCTTGACGCGGTTAAATTTTCAGCCACAACATACGTAATTTCGTATTAATTCCCACCAGGTATCCTCAGACATCACGTAAATAGTTTATGTGTATGAATAGTTCAGGTAGAGAATGAACATACGTAGATGTTCCTTTGGTATAGTATTTTTCAAAGACGTGATAAGCAGAGAGCGCTGTTTTTAATTAAGACGATTGTTATATATTGTTAATGGATGGGGACATTCACTTAAGGTAGAGACGCTAAGTATACAGGTGTTGGGTGAACTGAATAGTAAAATCGGACGTTTTACAAATGGGAATGGATCATATGTTCGTTCAAATATATATATATAGCAAATGTGTATTGCCGTCCGTAGCTATGTTGAATAAAAACAACTATGGTTCTTCATCAAAACGTTTCAAAGAAAGTATGGGCCAGCTATATCTACATTGACGTAGAAAAGTACATTCGCTATAAGATGTTCTAACTCGCTCGAACATACCATGCTGGGATGCATCCTAATATTCAAGTTTGAGGGGTGGATGTATGTGTAAGTGCTCAGACTTATAAAAAAAAGTTTAGCTATCAAAAAATTCTAAATTTTGCTTTTTAAACAGATATAATGATTTGATTACCAATGTTGGCGTTGCTTCACTATTCATAAATTTTATAAGATCAATCAATTAAGTGCTAGCTTTCTTAAAACCGTTCCTGTCAGAGTAAATACAAAGCGATTTGAAAACAAATATACCTGATCGATCTATTAACGGGAAACTTTACTTCAATGCTTAGTGTATATATACCTGTGATAACTGATGTAAATATTGTGTTTTTGGAGACAGGCTGTGAAAACATTGTCATAATGTTTAGTACGTTCGTTTTGTTTGTTTTTAAAACACGCTTATTTATTTGTTTTACATTTTTGTCAAAGGTAAACGTTTTATAGTAGTTGTTATAAACTTCATGAGCGAGTGTGAACTGACAAAGTTTGATTCTTTTTGTATGACGAGATGTAGGATATGTATGACGAGATGTAGGATATGTATGACGAGATGCAGGATATGTATGACGAGATGTAGTATATGTATGACGAGATGTAGGATATGTATGACGAGATGTAGGATATGTATGACGAGATGTAGGATATGTATGACGAGATGTATGACGAGATGTAGGATATGTATCAGCGGTTTTTTAAGTGTACATGGTAGGTATGCGTAACACTAGCAGAGGCCTTCACGACTGGACAAGTCCAATGGTTATGTACTGCTGTTTAGGGAACAACACTCGTATGAACTATTTTTGTGAAATTTCGCTAATACAAGAGTGTGGGCTTATATCATGATTAATTCGGAACATGTACAAACGTTCAACTTTATACGGACAATTTCATCTTAATATATAAGATATATATTGTTATAAAGCATTGTTTGTTTTCTGTGCAGAAAATTGAATTGTATATCAGATGTTACCAATACGTTATCATTATTTGATTATTGATATAATTTACATACATAATTTACATACAATATGTACATACATAATTTTCTTACTTCATGTACATACATAATTTGCATACTCCATATACATGCCTAAATTGCATACATTATTTACATGCCTAATTTACATACATCATGTACATACATAATTTACATACCTCATGTACATATATAATTTACATACATCATGTACATACATAATTTACATTTATCATGTGCATGCCTAATTTGCATACATCATTTACATACATTACCTACACGCATTATAACATACATAATGTAGATAATGTATTTTCACGAAAATGTACTTACTTCTATATATGCCTAATTTACATACACAATAAAAATACAATATATACATACTGGACACATACATAATGTACATAATATTCATGCATACTACACATAAACATACTATGCATACATTATTCTCTACTTGAGTGCTTTATCTATTAGTTTGAAATAAGACAGAAAGTAATGCTTGTAAGAAATTATATACTGAATGAGAACAAAAACAGTCTTTCGAAACTTACTTAGCTGTCCTTGTCATTTCAAATGTGAAATACCAAACTATTAAGGATATACTTCCCTTCCCTTGTTATTTATTAATTAATTTATTTTTGTGCGATATTTTTGTTTTAGATTTCATCATTCACTGTTTATAAGTGTAACAACAATTATTTCTTAGAATACTGAAATACATTTCCTCGGATTTCGTCCAACAACAATTGTGCAGGGAATTTGCTGGCATTTATTATCTCTCCGTGAAGTAGCGATAAACTGTTTCATTTATTGAATAGTTATTTTCGGAGGAACAGTATATAAATATAACATTCATTAGCAGTTGACAGTGAATATTGTCAACCCGAGAAAACCATTGTCACCCGAGGCGAAGCCGAGGGTGACAATGGGTTTTTGAGGGTTGACAATATTCACTGTCACCTGCTAATGAATGTCATATCTATTTAGTTACACCAAAAGTCTTTGTAGCTCAGAAACGGCAGCAAACCTCGATAATGACATCATGTTTGTTGATAATCTGCTGTTTACAATCGCTATCGCACCGGCTCTTCATAAAATTGGCTGTTGCCGTCAATCGTTCTTGTGACCATCACGGTGGGGAAACGAAGCAGTGAACACACATCACCCGCGCCCCTTAAAACCAATGTATTTTCAGAGTGTGACAGAGATTTTTGTTTAATTTTCTCCCAACCAATCAGATAGCTGGAAATTCACTTGAGGTGTAACAAAAATATATGAATCACTGAATTCCTGTTTTCTTACAGAGGACAATGATAATGTTCCCTCCCCTTTATTTAACTCTCATTTTCTACCAACGCCAAAACAGTTGATGAGTTTGATGTTATATTTCTAGTATAATGACTGAACAGTCAGTTTCTGCAGCATATAGAATATGGAAATCACAATAATAACTATATTTCAGAATCCTAAGGTATGTTTCCTGAAACTTTTAACATATCCTAGTCACATTAGGACAAAAATACCGGGTATTAATTATCATCTATTCTCCATCTATTATTGCGGGTTTGAAACAATAATTTGAACCTGTTGTTTATATCAACAACTGTTAGTTTTGTTTTTGTTTTGTTCGAGAGTAAAATACACTCATAAATAATAACTCGGGTGTATGTGATATGTAGTTTGAGTACACTGTTCGACAAATCTTTGCGTGGTTTAGAAAGATACTCATTTCTATTTATTAACGTGGGGCATTGCCCGTTTTATCGAAGCTACAAATGTAGTTTAATACATACAATAACAATATCTGTCATTACATGTTATATCAATACATGCAATATCGATATGTTTACATTGAAATTTAATATTTTTAATTCCAATAAAGATTTTTTAAAAAACGTCAAATTGTTTAATCTTTCAATTAATTGTTTTAATTTAACAAGGAAGGGAAACCTGAATAAACTTTAGTTGGTATTGGATATAAGTTATTTACACGGGCAGGGAATCTGATTTTTTTCGATTTGAAGTGTAAATTGGATATTAACACGGGAAGGGAACCTTGACAAACTGTTTTGGTAGTGAATATACAGTATAAAGGTCCCTAGAAAATGATGGTTGGTTATCATGTTTATCTAGCTATCTTACTCAAGTTAGCTCATTTTCAGAGTGTATAAAGACACGATGTTTGCCAGTGTCCTTTTCAATTTTAAAATTAACTAACGAGAGTTAGATAAACAGGATAATAGATAAACCATCATGAGTTTTGGGACCTTTTTCTCCCACAACTTAGATAGTATATCTAGAGAACCACATATATGTATCATGACTTTCTTAGAAATACATTATTCGTGTTTCTAAACACTTAAACAATTGCCATGAACTATGAGGTCACAATGGAAGATGACGTCACAAAGCATTGTTTTCCAATTCCTAACAGGTTTATCCAATGTGTCGGGGGGTGAGTAAACGTATAGTCCCCGACTATGGTGTACCCCGTGCACGTNATGAGCTGTAAAGCTCAAAGTCAATAAATGAATTGAATTGAATTGAGTGAGAAACAATATTCACACGAACAGTGAACCTTAATAAATTCGTGGCGTTGAATTCAATATATTAACACGGGCAGTGAATGTAACTTAACTTCATTTGATAGTGATGATCAGATATTATCACGGGAAGGGAAACCGAACAAGCTTTATATGGCACCGAATTCGATATATTAAAAGGGTACCTGAACACACTTACTTCCTGCAAGTTATATTATAATAACAATTAGTTTTATTAATGGTTCTTTGGAGGTAATATTGAGAACGTGAGAACGGCTTTAGAATGGATTTCCTATTTGGACTTTCTCTCTCAAATCAGAATGATTCTCAACTTGCTGAGGCAGGCTAACACTATCCTTTTAAAAGCACTGCGTATAAGTAAAGGTCTACCGTAAAGAAACAATTTTAACGCCAGGGGCGGATCCAGCAGGAGGGTACATCAGTTCAAAAACAATCACTGGTTATGGCTGTCAATGATTTACTCACATGATAGGGAAGCCTTCTTCAATCATAGCTGTCACCGTTTCTACTACTGACCGCCATGTTAAATAGTTAAAATTGTAATAAATGAATCCGGATTTCAGTTTTTACCATTAAAAATAACCACTGAAGAACTGTGCTTATATATACCACAGTAGAAGTAGTACAAATAGGATTAATTATTGTGCAAGAGAGATAAATAGACAACTTTTTCACCGAAAAATATTTCATGGGAAAAAAAATATTACATATTTCAAAAGTAATAGAATGCATTTAAAAATGGGGAGGGGGGGAGAGATATTCAGCCCAAATGTAGTTTTGTACACACTGAATGTCAGCAGAATGTAGCATTACCCATCAGAAGCCATGCTCAGAGTACCAGCAGAGTTTAGATACTTTCAGAACTATTTGTTTTTTTGTTTTTGTTTTGTTTAAATACAACCTATCACATATCAGGTATATGACCTATCATTTCCAGTGATAAACGGCACGTGTATAAACAAACCAGGAAGGTCGATACAAGCAGGAAGTCTGTAGGTTTAGTTTTCATCTGTATGATAAAAGTTACAGACTGGACACTCGCGACGTAGGCATCACATTGTCTCTTCAAGACAGTTTCCCTCGCCCTTGGGTCGTGGGACATAGTTTGGCTTTCAGGGATAAACTAATGGTTATTTCCCTCATGTCCATTCTATATATAATCATATGTGTAATTAAAAACCTGACCCATAACTCTACCTTCCTACGGTAAATTATATGGGTTTTGTGGATGTGTCATCAACACTGGGATTACAATCATCATTGAACATGCTCCGATAACCGAAACCGTCACATCGAATCTAATCATTAAAGGATCAGGGTTCTGTGCCCATTACGACCATAAACTGTCTCCCCTATGACACATTGGCCAGTGTCCTCGCCGAGATCAAATAGTGCCACTATTGAGGATGAGAGGTCAATGTGTAGAAACAATGATATTATCTTCATGAGGGACTAGCACACCCCGGACGTAAACCTCTCTCACGTATGTACTCAGTTGTGTACGGTCATCCTACCCATGGTCTTACAGGGCCAGGTCATGTATTGACAGTCATCATACATGATCTTAATTCACATATGTAAGCACGGTCGTCATACGTGTTCTTACAGGGCCAACTCATGCATGGACATTCATCATACATGATCTTACGGATCTAAATCACGTATGTAAGCACTTTAGGCATACATGGTCTCACAAAGCCAACTCATGTATGGACATTGATCATGCATGATCTTACAACTCACCGTACTTGTACATGTTAACACCCGTACCAACATATTAAGGTACTACTTTTTATATGATGATTTTTAATCATAGCGATCTCGTCTTATTCCTTCTTATCTCGTATGATCTAGACAGTTGTTAAAGGTTGATGTACTTGGAAGAGAACTCTCTGCATTTTAGTAGGTAAAGGGTGGTAAGGGTAGGGTAGCAGAACTTACCCAATCAGTTATTTTAGGAGGACTGTATAGTGAGTCGGGTACAACACTACATGTACATGTTCCAACAATGATGGAGTCTATTTTACATGATAGCAATTTGAATTCTTTATTTTTGTCATTGATATCACACAGATCTCCCTTTCTGTACGGAATATATTTACTCTGCTCGATCCCTATGGATTCAAGTGTACTATTTAGGTGCTATATAACAATCGTTTCCTTTGTAGTACAAACATCGACATCGAAATAGGCTCATCGCGAATAATTTCAACAGTCATTTAGATAGCGAAGGTTTTGAACTGTAAAACCGCAGGATTGACGGGGGAAGATATAGATGCTCTCTTGTTCTATTGTGACAGAATTAAAATCAGCTTAAGTAGATTCGATAACGTTTTATTGTAATTGCCAAAATGTAATTAAGCCAGTCGGTAGCAATTTTTACAGGAAGGCATCGATCTGTGTGGGATCCTGTTATACAACAAATAACACATGTTTGTGACTAATGGTAAAACAAGTAAGTGATCAGTTGTCTCCATGTCCAATAAAATCTAACTGATATACCCCGGGACTCACTGATGTACCCGGCACTCACTGGTGTACCCGGCACTAACTGATATACCCCGGGACTCCCTGATGTACCCGGCACTCACTGGTGTATCCGGCACTAACTGATATACCCCAGGACTCACTGGTGTACCCGGCACTAACTGATATACCTCGGGACTCACTGGTGTACCCAGCACTCACTGGTGTACCCGGCACTAACTGATATACCCCGGGACTCACTGGTGTACCCGGCACTCACTGGTGTACCGGGCACTCACTGGTATACCCGGCACTCTCTGATGTACCGGGCACTCACTGGTATACTCGGCACTCACTGGTGTACCCGGCACTAACTGGTGTACCCGGCACTCACTGGAATACTCGGCACTCACTGGTGTACCCGGCACTCACTGATGTACCGGGCACTAACTGGTGTACCCGGCACTCACTGGTGTACCCTGAACTAACTGATATACCCCGGGGCTCACTGGTGTACCCGGCACTCACTGGTGTACCCTGCACTAACTGATATACCCCGGGGCTCACTGGTGTACCCGGCCCTCACTGGTGTACCGGGCACTCACTGATGTACCGGGCACTAAGTGGTGTACCCGGCACTCACTGGTGTCCCCTGAACTAACTGATATACCCCGGCACTCACTGGTATACCCGGCACTCACTGGTGTACCCGGCAATAACTGATATACCCCGGTACTCACTGGTATACCCGGCACTCACTGGTGTACCCGGCACTTACTGGTATAGCCGGCACTCACTAGTGTTCGAGCTAGGGATTACATAACGGTAGCT